CTGCGTGGTTTTACTCATGTTCTCCTGAGAGCTCCATAAGGCCAAGAGCTCCTCTGGGTTACGAGCAGCAAACAGCAAACCAAAGATCTGAGACGCCGTCAGCCAGTTCCAGCAATGAGGGTGACGCAGATGGGAATCAATATGACCTGGAGAGAGAACATGAAGCATCTCAGGTTCATAAGTGAAGGTTTATACACTGACTCGATTTATGCTGTCGAGCAGGTCTGCGGGTTTGTGGAGCTCCAAAAAACTGCATTCTTTGATGAGTATGACGACGAGCGTGAGGTAACAAAAGAGCAGTCTGTCTGCAGCCTTCTCATCCTCCTCTTCCTCAATCTCATCAATCATATCATAGCCATTATCAATGCAAAGAGACTCAAACATGCAAAATAAGTCTACATACTGTGAAACTCTGCACTCACGTCCACAAAGTTGGAAGCATGGATCTCTTTCTCAATGAGAGGTATCAGGACATCCAGTCTCCGGTTGAACTTTTCCCCTTCAAATTCCACAAACAGCCCACAAACCTGAGCTCCAAGTCGCCTCAGAGCCACCTACAAAAGCCCAAACCCCAAACTGTTATGACCAAAACACATTTTAAGCAGACTTTTTCACCTTTTAGTTTTCCTACTCACCTTCTCGCCCGTAAGCCAGGTGTTAACCAGGTTAAACATGGAATTTTGATGCTGCAAATCCAGCTGACTCAGCAGAGACTTGATGGCCAGAGCCGTCATTTTCTTACAGGTTGCAGAATCATCGTTCAACATGGCCAATGACAAAGGCACAAAAAACAAACCGCAGTGCTCATGCAATAGAGCCTGTGAACAAAAACACATAATTATCTTACTGTATTATAAACACCAAGTATAGAATAATCTGCATAATGTAAAGCATTTCCAAGTCAAATGGAATATTCAGGAAAAAATGTAGAATGGGACCTTAATTCATCCACCAGAAATTCACTAGATCATGCCAGAGAATGGAGCAAGGATTTTTTTGTTGAACAATAAAGTGGGATTTAAGCCAATAACTGAAAAAGAAAATCGTTCCAGAGGCAAACCAAGTTTTTGATGATTTTTTTTTGTTCAAAATAACTTGCTCTGCACAATAAGGAATTCATTATAAAACATTAAAAACATTCTGGTTCCCCGATTGTAAGCCGCTTTGTATTTTTTCCATACCCTGGAAGTGAATGGCTACCGGCAACTGTTTGGAACAATTTGAGGGTGAGTAAATGATGACAGCATTTTAGGGTGAACTATCCCTTTAACACCCAAAGGATTGTGGGTAATTAAGTCTTTACCTGACATGTGGGAGCAGCACCAGTGCAGCCCAGGGATGGGAAAGATCAGAGAGCGGCTGATTGGCAGGGAAGTCTATGACAGAAAGAATCTGCTGGGGAACAGAGACTGTCTGGTCTCTTTCAGGTCCAGTTGACCTAAAACAGAATTTGTAATTTATGTGTATTCATTTATGAAGTATAATTTGTTTTATGGAGTAGTTTTTCCTAGCAAAAGC